AGAACAGGCTGTGAAAACGGCTCGTTTTTCGCGAACAACTCGTGTTCGGTTCGCTAAGTTAACGAGCCGAATAAGAATAAATATTTTTTCGTTCGTGTTAGGCTCTTTTTAGCTCGAAATACTACTAATTATATATATATCTTATATATATATATATATATATATATTTGATGAGTAGTATTTTTAAAAAAATTAATTGACTACAAAACTACAAAAAAATATAATCAATTAAAAGTATTAATGAAGAAAATGGAAAAAAAATATTAAATTAGACTCAAATGATGTTTTAAATCTTGCCCAGACTCAGCTCGTGTTCGGCTCCTTTATATTTCGAGCTCAAAAAGTGTGTTCGTGAAAAAGTGTGTTCGTGTTCGGCTCGTTTGCTTAGCGAGCCGAACACGAGCCGTTCACGAACAAAGAGTCGTTTTGACAACCCTAATCCCGTAGTCATAAGATGTTAAAGATTGGGGCAAGATTTAAAAATTAATATTTATATTAAAACATTAGTAGTATTTCTAGCCAAAAAGAGCCGAACACGAGCTTCTTAACGAGTCGAACACGAGCTGTTCACGAACAACGAGCCGTATTGAGAGCCATACTTATGGCTATGTGATTAGGGTTGTCGAAATGACTCTTGGTTCATGAATGTCTCGTGTTCGTCTCGTTAAACAAACGAATTAAACATGAACACACATTTTAAGCTCGAAATATAACCCTACACCGACAAAATATTAAGCTGGCTTAGAAACATAAATTTGACACGTGGCAACAGATCGTAATGGCGACTATGTCGGGGTTTGTTCAGAAAAATAAAACCAAATTTATTCTGAAAATTTCCCCCTTATTAACTCTCCGTGATCTCTCTCTCTCTCTTTTTCTTTTTTTGTATTCTTTCGTATAAATTGATTTTTAAACTATTAAAGTTTTAATTAAATATTTATTTATCAACTTTCCTTATTGATTTCTGAGAGAATAAAATAATATCACATAACTTACCAATTAAGTAAAATATAATAAATACGGACAGAAATAATATCACATAACTTACCAATTAAGTAAAATATAATAATTGCGAAATCTATTTAATTAAAATATGGATTTTGTGTAACAAATATTTAGAAAAAAAATTATATATTTTAACCGCGTCGCAAGCGATAATTTTGCTGGGTCTCGATGTGTCCCAAATTACTATAAATAAAGGCAAGGGGGAGCTGAGGGTAGGCTTGAAGCAGCAGCGCAAGAAAGTCTGAATCGCTTCTTTTGCTCTCTTACTGGAGCTTTTCCTCTGTTGCTTTTTCTTCACTCCCCACTTTTAGCTGAACACCAAAGGATAGCGGAAACTCTGAACGCATCGGCGGCAAAATCATGGTGGGAACGCCGTATTCTATATCCTCTTCCTCCACCTCTTTCGGTTCGTTAGATGATATCAGTACCGTCAAGCCCTGCAGCACCGTCAAATTCGTCTGCAGCTACGGCGGACGCATCCTCCCCCGTTACCCAGATGCGAAACTCCGTTACATCGGCGGCGAGACACGCGTGATCTCTGTCGATCGCTCCGTTTCCTTTTCAGGTCAGTCCCTCTTTCCTCGAATCGATCGGTTCTAGCCGTAAAACCCTAGATAGCGTTTTTTTGCTTTTTTGGTCGATTGCTTTTTTTCGGATCTGTGATGAGGGTTTCGATTTCGGAACAGAGCTACAGGCGAAAATGGGGCAGATCTGCGGATGGGATGCGGTGAATCTGAGATGCCAGCTTCCTAATGAGGATCTCGATGCGCTCGTCTCCATAACCTCAGATGAGGATCTCGCAAATCTCATCGAGGAATATGATCTAGTAAGCCGGGATCGGCAATGCCCTTTTAAGATCCGCGCGTTTCTGCATCCCCCGACGATTAAATCTCCGAAATCCGCAAATCCGGAGCCGATTCCAGCGTCGCTGAAAGGCAAACCGCCTTTGAGGAAACCCGTTCACGCTCTTGCCGACCGGTGCATCCACCAGACCGGCTCGACAGCCAGGTTCTCCGTTCGATCCGGCCACTCCGGCGGCAAGCACTTGTTCCATGGGCATCAGGCTCATCATGGGATCCCTCTTCCGTCGTATCGTCATCTTATTCACCACGGGAACCATTGGCAATAATGGTTTGATGTGGCGAGAAAGTAGGAAAAATGAGGTAAAGAACTTGGACGGAGGATGAACTGAGGAACTTCTATATTGTAACCTCTTGATGAACTTCAAGAATTTTACTAAATAAAAAAGGCAAAAAAAAAAAAAAAACTTCGATTAAATTTCTCTTTTGTGATTCCCGTGGTTATTGCTATGCTTTGTGGAATCCTCGTGATCAATCATCTGCCGTCAGCGTTAATTTCCTTGCTTCGATTGTCCTTCTCTGCCGTCGTTGCGTTCTCGGTCTCGTTCCGTTGCATCCTCTTATTTATTTATATATATATATAAAATTGATAATAATAAAGAATAGCAAATGCGAGGGTTATATAACTTGAATTCTTTGTTTAATTATTCAAATTTTAGTATATTATGGATTCAATAATTTGCTGACGTTTATTTTGTTTATGTGCAGATTGTGTATAATTTATTAACGGCGGAAGGGTGATTTCGTCTTTGATGAAGCTTTGCATATTATTCGCTTAATTGGAGGCGAACCTTTAGATAGTTTGAACACGATTCTACTTTTAGAAAATAAAAAATTATGCTCGTACTACCAATTTTTCCTTATTTACTTTTTTAATTTTTTTATCATTAAGAACTGAACCCGGCCTTTTTTTTTCTCGCTGGATCGGTTTTTTTTTTATTATATAAATGTTCATCGGGAATAAAATAAAAAATAAAAAATAAAATTGCTGACATTTTTATAATGGAATGTTGAATTTATTGCTCGGTCCCACAAAACGGAGGCCATTCATGCATCTCTCTCTGTATTGTCTAATGTGTTATTTAAACTCTATTATAAATAAAATAGATATTTTTGGTGATATGAAAGACTGAGTGGTATAAATATAAAAATCAAAATTTAGATGGTAGATATGTAAATATGTAGAATTAGGTGGTATGTATGTAAATGCCCCTAATTTATGTTGCGCTGAATGCATGGTTGTAAATTATTTTTTTTTTTTGATTGAATTAGGTGGTATGTATGTAAATGCCCTTAATTTATGTTGCGCTGAATGCATGGTTGTAAATTTTTCTTTTTTTTTTTGATTATTTTGAAATAAATTTAATAATTTTAAGATTCATTTTATTTAAAATTTTATTTTTCCTTTTTAAAGTTTCGGCCGGATCGCAATCTTCCATATATGCCCTGTGGTGGGCTGATGTTGGGGCCCACCTTGTCAGTTTGACGTGTCGTGTAAAGCCCGTAGGTGTCGAGGCCTGGAATTATATTGCTCTACAGTATCAAGTGGGCCAGCCCATGGTGCATTCCAACCTGTCACGAACACCGGAGAGCCGCAGAAGAATCTACTGAATGGGGGCGGTGGGGGTCGTACGAAAATCCAAATGAAATAAGTTTATGCATTTTGAACCTTCCAAATCCTATATTGCTTCATTTGTCCTCTTTCCCCCACACACGACTTCTTTCCTTTCTAAAGTTCCTCTACTAAAAAAGTTGTAAATCTTAGCATGGATGATCTTCTATAAGAAAATATTACGTGTAGATAACCGTACATCCAAACCGCACCATCATGCACGTGATCTTGCTCAGACTTGATCTCCCTTAATTGGTCGTCCAAATATGTTGCCATTGTACGTTAAATTTTCTCCGTATGTAATATTTTCCCCTCCCAAGCCACAAAGCAAATAAATCTTCGCCTTGTGGCTTTTATGTGAGTTTCTTTCAACGATAATAATGATCTTCAATAAGCCTTCTTTCGTTGTGTTCTTTTTAATCACCTAATTTTTAGTTTTTTATGGGGATTTTTACATTATTCACAATCTACTTTGGCTTGTAAAGTGATCTTCACCTTCAAAAGTCCCCTCTAGTTTCATTGCAACTTTTTCTCTTTATTCAAATAGATTCTAAATTGCAAAAGAAAGTTTCTCCAAAGATGCTATAACACTAATCATATAGTTGCTACAATTTAGTATTTTTCATTATTAATAAAATAAATATTTCATGGTAGTTAAATGAGCTAATACACTATTAATAAAAGTCATACCATGTTTATGAGTTTATCATTCATAATCTCAAATTCTTAATAAATTAATCTCAATTATTATCTAATTATCAAGTCCAATTTGAATAACAAATCCTCCCATACATTAGTTTGACTACAAGAGTAAAGATATTATGACTTATGTTAACATATAATGTCTTCATTAATTCACAAAAATGCAAAAGCTCAATTTTTCATTATTCATGTACAGTCATACCTATTTATATATAGAATTTTAGTATACATCAAACTGTCGTCAAGCGAAAATAAGCATAAAAGCTCTTGTTCGTGTTCGTTCCATTTAATAAAAAAAAATTAAATAATTATTCAAATTAGATTCATTTAAATGATTAATAAGCTAAAGATGAACAATTATACAGACATTAAATAGGGACTATAATTCAAAATTTGGTATATATATTGCAGTAAGTTGAGTCCAAATCAGAGAATAGACCAAATTGAATTCAAATTCAAATTCCTTTCCTAATGACAATGATTTTGAATTTGACCCGTCTCACTCCCACATATTTCAAATCAGTACGAAATAAATCTGTAAGACTTTCGGGTAAATATCCAAATAAAAAAAAAATTGAATATGCACGAAATTTAACGGAGATATTATAGGTGACAGCCACAGAACAAAATATCATGCTCGTCACCTTCCACCCATTTCCACATCTTCAATATTGACAAAGAACTACACATGATAAAAATTGATGGCTATATTAATATCATATTTATCACTCAATTTTTACCTATTTACATATCTACACCTAATGCACGCATGCGTGCGCGCACACATATACTTTTTATAAATAAAAAATTAATCATGTGTGCTTAAATGCAGTCCCTAAAACAATAAAAAATCTCATTATCTGGTCCGTGTGTTGGAAAATATTTGCGTGAGACGTACGATCTCATTATCTGGTCCGTGTGTTGGAAAATATTTGTGTAAGACGTACGCAACGCTGCGTACATGCGTGAGACGTACGTCCAGGGGTTATTCAGGGGATACAGGGGGGTTATATCGGGGTTATACTCATCTATAACTCCCTTGTAACCTCTTTGTAAACTATCTGTAACATATAAATGAGTTCCGAGCTTCTGTAATTTCATGGGTACAAATAAGTTACACGAATGTTACATGTAATTTCATGGGTACAAATAAGTTACACGGATGTGACAGGGGGGTATAACCCGAATATAACTCCCCTGTACCCCCTGAATAACCTCTGACGTACGCAGCGCTGCGTACGTCTTATACGTCGTATGTACGCTAATATTTTCCTCGTGTGTTTACATATCCAACATCAAAATTTTAGTTTTTGCATATATGCTGCCTTATCTATAATTGATATTATAAAAGAAATGGTAAAAAACTATTAGATGAGCCTTCAACCAACCCTAATATGCCCAACAATTTGAGTACCACGTCCTTGAGGCCAATTGTGTCAGACGGGATTCAAACCCCCGACTTGAGGAGACTTATACCGTGAATGCCAACCAACAGACCGGATAACACGACATCTATATCTTGCACACACGCGCGCGCGCACACACACAATGTGTTTACATATCCAACATCAAAATTTTAGTTTTTACATATATGCTGCCTTATCTATAATTGATATATATTATAAAAGGAATGGTAAAAAACTATTAGATGAGCCTTCAGCCAACCCTAATATGCCCAACAATTTGAGTACCACGTCCTGGCGGCCAATTGTGTCAGACGGGATTCAAACCCCCCGACCTGAGGAGACATACCGTGAATGCCAACCAACATACCGGGCAACACGACATCTATATCTTGCACACACACACGCGCGCGCGCGCACACAGGCGCACACACACAATTTTTTACAAGTAAAAAATTATTCATATTTGTGCTTAATTGCAGAGCAAATTCTTTAAAAACAAAATGAAAAATCTCAAAAAATCTTGTCCTTCTGTTTACATAGCAGCTAAATTTTAGTTTGCACATGTCACCATATCTATAATTGAAAAAATATATATATATCAATTTGTGCTTAAATGCATAGCACAATATGAAGAATCATAAGATGTCGGGTTCGAGTGCTAACAACCCCACCCGCCCAAATAAATAAATAAATAGTGGTATTATTTCATGTGGCATGAATTTGAATTAGCTTTTGCTCAGTTCAGCTCATAGGCTATCTAAAAAACTTAATTTACACTATCTTTTTGTCCTAATTTAGCTATATTTCTGCTAAAGCCTAATTATGACCATAATTCATTGCAATAGTCCCCATCTCTTTCATAAGAAGATGGGTGAACTTACTCGAATTTATTGAATTGGACAGCAAGACGGCTAGAGCTTTCTTGCCAGCAACTTCTGCTTATTCGGGATTAAGACAAAATAATGTATGAGCTGTGAATCAGAGGCCTAACATCAATATCAATCAGTGAATGCAAAAGAATTGCAGAACGACTATGCTTAATGGTGTCCTTTTCAAGACTTATAAGATAATGAAAGATACATCTGCAATATAGTTCATTCATTTCTACGGGACATATCAACAACTTCTATTTTGCATGAATCAGGACATAACAGCAATAAAATATTTCCAACAAGTGGGCCTAAGATCTCAAATATCTCTGCAGTCAGCGGTCAGAGCTCTTCCCTGATTTTAGAGACAGAGATAGACATAAACAGAGAGAAGGGAGAGACAGAGAATTTAGCATCCAGTAAATAACAATCTTCTAATTACATATTAATTCACAATCTCCCATTGGCATATTAATTTTACTATATATTATCTTTAAGAGAAACCTGTCTATAAGGCTGATAATGCAATTTTTTTTGTCAATACACGCCTTGATCCTAAAAATCTTTTATAATGCCATCTTATCCTTTTGGTGGATCTCACTTGATGGAGTTTGGATATGCATTGGTTTTCAAAACACTACAATTAAACAGCATGAATAAGTAATATGGAATATGATCAACTGTGATCTCCCTACAATCAATAATGCTCCAAATTCATATATTGCTAAAATTATTTGCAAAGTAATGTGCTAAAAAAATTAGACAGAACGGCCCCAAAAGATATCCGATCCATTAAATTTTGATGCATTTATATACATAGCACATAATTCTTATGTATTTATATATCTAACACCTAAACTTTAATATTTACATACACAGCTTTATATATCCAACACCTAAACTTTAATATTTACATACACAGTACTAAAATCTTTACTATTACATCAAAAATACCATTATCACCAACTTTTAAAAAGTCAAATGCACCTTCTCATAGGCTCATGACACCAAAGTGTTATGAATATAAATATGAAAGTTTAGAATGTACATACAAAAAAATTTTGTGGTATGTTCGTAAATTTTCGTCATATTTTTTAAATCCTCAATATGGATTAAGAGCTATAAATTATGAAAATCATAGACAAATCCTTCGGATCGCATATATATTAGCATTTATCTGACGGAAATTTTGCTGCCAGAAATGTAACAGAACTAAAATTGATTGAAGAGAGCAATTAAAGCTCCTCCCCTCAATAAATGATTCATAATCATGCTGGAGGATCCAATGAGCAAGCTTGAACTAGCCGTTGCACAGCTTGATGCTGAATTATCAGTGAATGAATCTTAAGGGGAAGATATTGTCAAAGTGAAGAGGAGTGGCGGATAGAACCAAAATGTGAAGACCCTGGGGTAATCAGTATATAACCATGTCAGATTTGTCTCGACAGTAACAATGATGACTTATTTCTTGACATACCAAATGATGAGACCATGTCCTAGAAAGGTTTAGTAACTTATATACTGTCCGGTTTGGTTAGTGGGGGCGGCTCCTCCGTTGTGGGTAAACGGGAAACCCGACTCTACGAAACCGAGGAAAGGCTGCACAGCTTCCGTGGGGGCGTGAAGACCGGAGCGAATGCCCATGACAACCCCAGAGTCAAAATAGGAATGTAGTTGCATGTATCCATGATATATTAGAAGGCCTGGTTGTATGGCACCTTAGACATATTGCAGGAGTTTGAGGTGGTGAAGATGTAGGTTTAGAGGGTGATGCATGTGTTTAAATAACTTTTTTATGGCAAAGGAGAGATCAAAGCGGGTTATGCTAAGGTAATGCAATGTACCTACTAAGTAGCAACAGAGTTAAGGGCGGTCTTAGTCATGAGTGACAATGGTAAGAGAGTTTATTTTTTCATCAAATTCAATATTTGTAAACATATCTAAAAAAAAGATCAACTTTTTCCTATAACATTCTTTCAACCTAGCATCTTCTAAAGGCTCAAGTTATTTTGACAAAAAATAAAAAAAATGAAAATGATAATAACTCAAACACTGAATTAAATTCAAATATTTTCATGGACAAACTAGAATAAAAAGTACCTAATTTTAGAAACCACCCTAAGCAAGCAAGCAAAAAAATATTTGAATTACACCCTAGGAAGCTTGGAATTCCCTACTTTTTCTTCGCACACTTCTCCAAGCTGTCAAGATTTCCCCACTTGAAAGCTCAGAGCTCTCATTTTCACACTTTGCATGAGATAATTAAATAATAAAAATAATAAAGGGAAAATAGGATCTCATACTTGACCACCCTCTCTATTTTACTATCTATGAAACTCATTGAAACAACTTCAACCAAAGTTATTTCCAAGATTCAGCTCCAACCAGTTGCATCTAAGGAATTAGCGAAAAGAGAGGGAATTAAGATCTGAAACAAGCTTATTGTTTTCTTTTTTTAAAGTGTTTCACATGGATGCCAACAAAGTTTTCAGTGGTTTCTTTCAACTTAGTAAAGTCAAAACTGAAGTTTGCCAAGCTTTTGTTTGAGATATGCGCCGTTGAAGCTTGGCATATTTACTAAGAAGGCCAATGAACCTTCACCACAAAGTTCAAAAAAGAAAAGGGAAATTAAGAATATTCAAAATTTTATAGGTAAATCAGACAAAGTGGTCTAATATGGGGCAGCACGCAAACATGAGGGTGAATAAAACTTTAAAAGAAAGCTAAGATGAAAACACTTTTTAACACAATGAAAGGTGAAGCATAAGGAACGTTTCGAGTTCATGAAGCACAAATAATGGTTCATAGGATTAACAAGCAGAAAACCTGATGCCAACAAACTAAGATTAAGAAAACATTATGAAGTTAACTTCAGAAGGAAACTAAGGCCAGAAAACTTCTACCAACCTTAGCTTCTCAAATTCCAAAGTTATTTGCAAAACTTAACCTGTTTCTTGCTCGAATTCATCACCATCAGATTCTTCCAGATTGTCGGCATCGTCATCTTCAGCATCAGCATCTATATCTTCTTTGTAGTCATGAACTACCTTCCCAATCACAGGCAGGTTGCTGTTTGCCTTTCTGATTTCATTCCACTGCAGAAATAGTTAAGGTCCAGTCATCTAAATCACTAACAGCAGGTTAAAACGTAAATAAATCACAATTAGAAATAGTTAGATTTACAAATAAAATCTACTAGTGAAGTAGTAGTCTATTTGATGATTTGGGAACTTCGGTTGAGAGACATTTAAACTATTTCACACCTTGTTTTTAATTATATTGATCAGCATATATATAAGAAAATCAATTTGTTGATATGCACATGATTTAAGAGACCATGGGTCCTCTGTTATTAAATTTGAGGGAAGAAATTATTCCCCATTACTTAGTATTATTATTGTGTTTTATTTTTTTCCTTTTTATGGAGATGATTTGAATTTCCCTCTAATTGTAAGAGGGTTAGTAACTGGGAAGGCAGAAGTGCTTCAATTCGCGGCAAACTACATAAACAAATTACATAAAAGGAAATGAAAGTTTCAAATAGCAAAAAGGTAAGAATGCTCTTACCAATTTTTCCCAGAGCTCCTACTCGAGAGCCACAAATCTTTGTTGTTCGCGCTGTTTCGCTCATCTACAGTACCCAAGCAGAGAGCCTTGGGGGAAATTAATTCAAGGCAAGGGAATGAGAAATGCGGGAGAAGGAAAATAAAACCTGCGCTCATCTAATCACAACCATAAAAACGAATCCCATCGTTGCATGCCAAGGAATGTGGGATTGCTACAATGCTGCAGGATTAAAAATTAATTATGAATTAATTAGGAATTTACTCTAGTTTAATTAAAATTTTAAATTAAATTTTTATGTCCCAATACATCAATAATTTATTCATAATCTTATATGTCAAATTGATCATTGAAAAATATAGAATTTTATAAAATTTATTCATTTGGATTTTGGAGAATGCGGGTATATTTTAAGATAAAAAACTTTATGCCTGATTTTGGCCAAATATTGGTATTACACCCCCAATCCTCGTGGTCTCAACAGAAGAAGCACTGCTCGAATTTCCAGCTTCAACCCTTCCATGAAATTTCATTCCAACACTTCTCCTGATAACCCTCTCAAATGGCCAGATAGCATTTTAAATTTCTCTCATTAATCTATGACAGACTCTTCATGGACCAATGCAAAAAAATGCTTGTGTAAATTCCCTTCCCGTGTGGTTCTGAAATGATCTAACAAATGGTTCTTAAATTCTTCACCTGTTCTGATTGATTGACGTTGTTCTCTCCATTGATACCACACTAAAACCTTCCATTCCAAACACGGGATCGTTGCCAATAATTTTTCTTCCTCAACCAGCTCATTAATAGCAAAGTAACTCTCCATGGGATAAATCAAATCATAAGCATTCTCTCCTTCAAAAATGGGCATATTCAACTTCCTTATGTGTGAGTCCTCTCCGCAATTTTCTCGACCGAAGCTCATTCCACACATGAAACAGGGGTTGCTCGACCTATATTGATTTCCCTTCTTCCATATTTCTAGCTCACCCTATCTATAATCAACTCGCTCATCCCTATAAGCTCATGAATTGTTTTCTGTTCAAAAAGTTGTCGTAGCAAAAAGCACGGGTGAGGTTGGATGAAGCCTTCTGTCATGGTCTCACCAACGATGGTTCCCTGTTCCAGCCCGATATCCTTTGAATCGATCTTCTCCAGCCCCGAATCGAACATCATCACGTTTCGTTTGCTGTCGCTCGTTCCAAACCTCCAAATGTTATGTAATTCCCTCTAGATGTTGTAGCTCGAATCCTGTTTTGAATCCTTTGCTTAATCCTTCCTTCTTTCATTTGATCCAGCCGTCTGAATGTTCTGTTATTCCTTCCAAGTGTCACCGCTTCAGTCTGCACTTCATTCTTTTGCTCTATCCAACGACTCTAGATCTGCCTGAGTCAAAGACACTACCCTAATGTCATGTGTATCTTTCTGATTGTTGTCGCTTGAGTCTGCTTCAAAAGCCATCGCTCAATCATGTGGCGAGCGGTGGCTGCTTTGCGTGAAAGTCCACAATTTTCCTCATCATTTCTTTTAGGGTCATGAATCTCCCCTTCATGAACGAGAACCGCCCCTCCATGACCGAGAAATACTCCATTTTAGATATGATTTGTTTCACCCCTCCATGAATGAGAGCAACCCCTCCATGAAAACTTTCGATAACAAACACGAAACTCAAGTACATCGCAATCCCGTCGTTGGCTTCCCATAAAGCTCTAATTGTGACCATATCATAGGTTACGAAACCCTGTATGCCGTATCAAGTCATTGGCTTTCCAGCTAGCTCGAATTGCGGTTGTATTGTGAGGTTCGGTCATGAAGGCTACAATATCGCGATCCCGTCGTTGGCTTCCCAGCTAGCTCAAATTGCAATTGTATCATGATGTTCTATCACGAAGGAGATCTTGTTGATCTATAATGTTTCATGATCCCCTCATTAACTTCCCAGTTAGCCCAAATCGTGATTGCATGGTGATTTTTGGTCACGAAGGCTACAAAATTCCTGTATGTCGCAATCCCGTCATCAGCTTCCAAGATTTTGAATGTTATGATACCGGTTTGATAGGAAAGAAACGAGCTTCCACAAAAATTAAGACAAGCAAAATATTTTACTTAACCGACACAAAACAACACAGCTCAAATATATAAAAGATAAACACCTACAATTCGAGAGACATACGATCACTCCTAAACCCTAAGTCTAAGATTCAATTCAACAATCACACATAACCTAACCCTAAATAAATTAAGATTCTATTTATACCTCATAATAATAAATTACAAATGACTAAATTGCCCTTTCAGTCTTACGCCTAACATAATTCTTCCAATTATTTGGCGGGCTCGACATTGACTTAGTGGAGCACAAAGCAGATGGTGTCGCAGACGCTTGTCTAACAAATATTAATCAAGTGTTGAATGATTTTAAAATCATTTGTCCTAATGAACTTCCTAATGAATTACCACCAAGAGATATATAATATGTTATTAATTTAGTTCTTGGATCATCATTATTGCCTAATCAGAATTATTATAGTATGAATCCAAATTCGAGATTATTTTACATACTAATTTTGAATAAAAATAAAAGCTTGAATAAGAAGGTTACCAAGAATTAAATTAGGTTGACCTTATTCCAACAATATCACCTAACCTAGAGACAGGATTCCATAAATAGATGTTATGAGGCATGCAAATAATTAAACTTGTCTCGAATAAAATTTCTTCCTCATGCTTCAAACTTGTAAGTGTGAGTTGGATGTATGACTCATTCAAGTGATTTAAAAGCACGACAATCAAATTTCAAGAAAAGTCATCTTAAGATATCAACGTTAAGGACTAATTTCTTCTTACTTTGTAAATTTGTTCCTCGCTCTATTTTATTTATAAAATATGTTATTTGACTTGTTTAATACCATTAATTTTGATGAAAAAAGAATACATCAAAAAATTTGATTTTCTCACCAATTTTATTTGTTCCTACTTTATTGCCAAACATGTCCAGAATTTTTTATCAATAACTTATCAATTGATTTTAGATTCTAGTATTGCCTATCTTTATTTAAAATAAGTGAATTGTTGAACAACTTAATACTCGCAAACTCAAACTCTTCAGTTTTTTCCTTTACATGGAATTACATTACACAACATACTAGTTTGTAATAGGAAACCTAATCCTGAGTCGCCCGACATCAATCGCTCCTTTACCTAGGGTTTGTGGTAGGCAATGAAGAGATCAAGATTGATCATGAAAAGGCAAAATCAATGAACGAGTGACCCGCACCACAAACAGCAGCTGATGTAACAAGGCCCCACCAGTCAATATGTCCATAAGTGCATTCATAATTTTTTGTAGTTTCCTTTACATGTTGTGCTAGGTCCAATGCCAAATTTAAATAGAAAAATAAAATGATACATTTATCGTGTCGGAGAAGAAGATAAGTAAGGCCCTTACATTAGCCTTACGAACTTTACAATTATCATTAAAAACAAAGGCGAATGCTAGGAGATATGCAATGGGGGTAATACTAAAGCAAAATGGAAGGCTCATTACTTATCATTCTGCAATATTTCAGGTAGCTCAGAAGAACCATCCAATCTGTAATAATGAACTGTTGGCACTGAGTTGAATAGTGAATATTGGTGCTACTTTCTAGAAAAGAAACTATGATATATAAAAATCATAGTTCATTTTAATATTTGCCAAGTTAATACAAAATTATAACATGCTAATCATATCAAGTAGATAACTTACCTCCCAACATATGTACAAGATCATCATTCATGCATCTCTTGGCTATGCGCTTGAATATTTTTTTGTGAACTATTCATGTGAACCCAAAAAATATGAGTATCCGTATACTTTTGACAATTCAAATTCAGTGGTCCATTTTACCAAAAGGGCAATGTTTTAGTTCTTTTGATGAAAGTACGATAAACATTGCATCTAAAATCTATCTAAAACCTATCATTTTGGTTGGGTTCATTCAGATTAAAATATGAGGCACAAAGAAAGGTTAACAATTCATTTGTTGGATCCTATAGCCTACTCATCAAATTGTGGACTAATATCCTGCAAGTGCTATTCTACCGAATTACCAATTAATGAACTACTATAACTATTTTATAGTTATCTGAATTTAAATATTTATTATCAGAAGCTATACCATAGATTGCATAAATGCTACACAAACGTTAAAATGAAAAACTCAACCAACTCTCTCCCATTCTTGTTATTTTCTTAACCAACATATGAATTTTGTCAATTCCCTCCAAAAAACTATGTACCTTTTCATTTTCAACTTTAACGCCGCCATCAATAGCATGGGTGAAAGAGATGCGAAGATTGAAGCGGGCTTTGTGGCCAATACCTCGCACAAATTTGAAGTGTTGCCTTTCTGGTGTAGTGCATGGTTTCTATTGAAGGCGAATCCTAAGTATGACAGGCAAGCATCAAGCATCCCAAAATTTGAGATGCCTGTTATTGTACCATCATGACAGATGCACCATTGTTTCATTAAACACCTTTATTTAGTCA